ATCCTCCCTCTTATTTCTCTACGAATCCAAATTCTAATTCTCATATGTTCTCTGCTTTAGTTTGGATTTGTTATTATGTTCTCAGAAGTTCTTTAAAGGAGCTAATGTACACATTGAAACTTGAAAGCCATAGTCCCAAAAACAATGGCACAAAATAAGGATTTAAAATTGATATCAATGTATAGTGAAGCTACCAACGAATGTCATGAATGTTTTCTTCTTTTGCTCCCAAAAAATTTAAATTGTTAGGTCTTCTTAGTTGAAACCTATGGGATTATGTAGTGTCTTTTCTAGTGCAAACAACTGATGCAAATTAATAATTAACCACAGGAAGCAGCCTCAAAAACTTAATCATCAGCTTTTAATGAACTTAATATTTATCATATTTTACTTGCCATAGCATTTTGACCCATTTTGGAAAATAAATGGATTCCTGAACATTGGGTTGGAAGCAAAAACAAATTGGATATTAATGGATATATTTGGGTGTGGTGATTGTTGTGTAGCAAATTCAAACACAATCGTTTTTTCTCTAGAAGTGTTCAAAAACAGCACGGACTATTTGACACTTTATATCACTATTATTAAACATCTTATTAATTTAATATATACAAATTATAATATGTTGTCGCTAATATGTTACAAAATTATATATTATACATATTGTATATTATATGTATTACAATATTATATATTGCAATATATATGTAATATATTTTTAATAAATTATATTAGAATAATATAACTATGAAATATTATCTTCAAAATATTCATATATCTAATAATTGTTCATATAAACATGCTACTGTTTTATATTGTATAATAATATATTATAATTATCTACTATGAATATTTACATATTTTACTACCTAATATTTTAGTTTTTAGAGGAGTTATTAATTATTAACTATTGTTATTCCTACACAACAAAATATAATACTAATATGTTACATTACATATTATAAATATATTATGAGATATTATATTAATTAGATAATAGCACACCACATTTATTTATTAAATAAATATTGTGATATCATTACTATATTATTAGTTCATTAATAAATTATTATTAATAACTAAAGATGAATAATTCATTTTAGAACAAAAAAATTGGACAACTTATATGAACAGGGGACGCGGAAAGAAAATTTTCAAATTTAATAACTTTAATAATCCAAGCTGACTTGAAAGTTAAGCTCATGTTCTCTTCTTCCTTCTTTTTGTTTTTGCACTTTTTTTAGTCTCCCCTGCTGCCGATGAAAGAGTACAAGATTTATTCATTTAGCATAATGTTTTTCCAATGTGAATTGAACTAATCAAAGAAACAAACCGGAATGACTCGCTCTAGTAATTCGTTTTTTTTTCAAAATCACCTAATCAGCATCAGCAATGTGGAAGGAAATAAGGTTTTGGTCAATGGCAGTAGGGTCCATCATAAGATCAATAATCAAATAGAATGTCTCATAAATGAAAACATTAATCAACAAGTGAAATTAATTCCTCAAATCATTGAAGCAAAAGAGAAATATATAATGAGTAAAAATTGTTGTTGGTTCCATAATTAATCTAAGATTAGAGGAAGCTGGTGGGTGATATCAAGAAATATTGAAAAAGAACGACCTTGTTGGGTCGAGAAGATTTCAATTCAACTTTGAGAAATACAAAAAAAAAGTCTCCTTTAATGGTCAGATCACATCAAGCCAATCAAAGTTGGATTCTTTTTTCTTAATCCTTCATGGGCTTGCTACGGTCTCTGACTTTATACATTATGTCTTCAAACTACCATCAGCGATGTAGGCAATGAAGCAGGATACTGAGACAAAATAGATTCTATTGAGTTCGGAGCAAATAATAATGGATAGTTTTATCGACAAAATTACCTTTACTAATAATTCAATGTTACATTAAAATATTGAGACATCTCATCGCCATCTCAGTATACCACCTCACTTGTCCCCTCAACATGTCCCATTTTTAGGTCCTAACAGTCATGGTTGTAAAAAGCGGCGAATAGCGGCGCTATAGCGCCACTATTCGCGGAAGCGGGGGTGAACAACTCATCAGTCATTAATATTGAGAAATCTCATCGCCATCTCAGTATATCACCTCACTTGTCCCCTCAACATGTCCCATTTTTAGGTCCTAACAGTCATGGTTGTAAAAAGTGGCGAATAGCGGCGCTATAGCGCCGCTATTCGCGGAAGCGGGGGTGAACCACTCCGCTTACCGTGCTCGCGGGGTGTCAAGGCGCGGAAAACTGCTTTTCACTCGAAAAGCGGCTGATAGCGTGTAAATAGCGCTGTTTAGCGCTTAAAAGCGATTTTAACCGCTCCGACTGGTGACGATGGCGATCGGCAGCGCAAGGGAAGAAATTTCGTTTTCCAGTTTTTTTATTTTCTCCTCTTTGTTTTTTCTTTTGTTTTCCAATTTTTTTTCTTTTCTCCTCTTTGTTTTTTCTTTCGTTTTCCAGTTTTTGTTTTTTCTCCACTCGGCAGCAGCAGGCCATTAGAAAAAAATTTTTCTTTTCCATGTAGTTCTTTGTTTTTTCTTCTCCAGCTTTTGTTTTCCTGTAGCCATTTCGTCATTCTTTGTTTTTTTTCTCTGCAGGTAAGTTAGAACCGCCGGTTATTTTTTTTTACTGTAGCTATTTTAACTTCAAAAAACTAATCGTGGCATAATATATTAACAGTAAAAAATTTAATTGTATGCAAGTTGCAACTTGATGTAAATATATGAATTAACAGTAAAAAATCAATTGTATCTTAGCTATTTTACCGTAGCTATTTTAAAAGTAAAAAAATTTGTATTTGATGTGCAATCTTTCTCAATTATTTATTTCTACTTTATAGTAACTCATAAATTTGCATATGACTGTTGAAATGTTAACTAACTTGCAAAGAGAGATTTTCTAGGTGAAAGTTTACAAATATATATTTTTTCATTCATCTTGTATATCTTCGGAATTGCATTAAATATGCATTGCATAATTTTTAGAATTTTTTATAATTTTTCTTATTATTTAGAATAGTAATATAATAGAATAATTTTTTTGCTTGTAAAGTAGATTGATGATCTTCATAGAATATGCTCAATATGATCCAAGGATAATGGATTAAAGTGACTCAAGAACTAATTCTTTATCTAAGTCTCAAACAATTCACTTGACAGGTTTTATTTGAAGGTGTTTTAAACATTTAAAACAGTCCTTGGTTGCATTTCCTTCAGCTATCCATACAACTAGAAGAGTATCATTCATACTTGTACATCATGATAATATCCTTATTTTTGAGAGTCAACCAGAACATTGAGATCGGTACTAAATATATAAACTCAACCAAAAAGCTTCTCCCTCTACAAGGTAATACCTATCCAGAGCTAGATATTTGACAAGCTAATATGAATAATAAAATTCAGTATGCCTATCTACATAGACTTCATTAGGCATGCCCCTCTGGTTAGGATTGTGAATATTTATTTAGGGTTGGTTAAGTTGTAGCAAATGGATTAAGTTATAAACTCTCTATTTATAATCCTTAGATTTGTATGGACATAACTGATCACAAATAAAGTCTATGAAGTCTAATAATACAAAAGAAACAGCAAACATTTAGGAACAAAAAATAAAAATATATAACAGAAAGGATATCAATGAGGTTTCTAAACCAAGCTCAGTCTCTTTATTTTAGCTCAATAATTTGGAGTTTCACATCGCTATGTGAAACAAATAATTTTAATTTGGCATGTTTAAGATCTTCACATTTGTCTAGCTTTAAGAACATGATGCATAAAGGATGCAACAGTTGGGCCTCTTTGAATGGGTAGCAATAATAAACTTTCTAAATTTCTAAGGAATGGTTACTCATTGACCTGCACTAAAAGCATATATAAACTTTATCCCCTAAAAGTTCAGGTCTTTATTGATTTGTTTTTCAATAAATTAAATTTTCATTTAAGATCTTCAGAGGTTAAAGGATAATTTGTTAATCCCGTATTTCTTTTCTTAAAATAGAACATCTAATAGGAAAAACATATCATTTTGTGTATGTTTTTTCCTTTCTTTCAAATTAATTCTAAAGTGGTAATGCAAGAGCTTAAGTTTTTTGTTGAAAATGCAGAACTCTAGGATCTAGATAAAGTAGCTCTATGTTGAAATACTTTGCTTAATTACATGAGCACAAGTCTAAATGCTTTCTATTGGGAATTTCCAGCGTATACGTGACAGTCTTCAAGCTGTAAATGAAGAGGGCAGTTACGTAATAGTATGTGCTTAGGCCAAAAAGCGAAGGACCAACTAGATAGTATAGTTTCCTCTGTTTATGTTAGAAAAATAGATACTATTGTAGGTATTCAAAGTTCATGTTACCTCATAGTATGTGCTAAGCCCAAAAAGTGAAGGAGCAATTGGATAGTTTCCTCTCCTTATGTTAGAAAAATAGATAATATTGTAGGCTTTAGAGTTCTCTCTACTAAAATATTAGCTAATTTAATAGCGCTCATCGAAGACATTTAAAGATTTCCTTTATATATTAGAAGATAAAATATAATAGAGGTTTTACAATTCTCCTACAAGAAAGTACTGAAAGAGTTCCTAACTACATGGATATAGGATATTACAGTGTATGTAACAGTTCTCACCCATGCAACACCAGCCTCAATGTCTGAAACGTGATATGTATTGAATATTCACAAGCAGATAAAAAGGCAATTATCAACGTAAAAGAATGAAAGGTTCGTACTCGAGAATATTCTTGAATGCGGACCACTACAGATCGTTGTTCTACGTTCAAGTGGGCTGTCGCCTCGAACATTTGATGTACTTAAAAAAAGAAAATCATCATAGGTAATAAATATGCAGACAAGATGGACTTGAAAAGAAGTCCAGATTCTAGAATATACAGTAAAAGACTATGCAAAGGAACAATTAATACTGTGTTCTATATGTGTGTTAGTTGTTAGATGAACAAAAAGTTAACTGCTATTTTTCTGATACTAGGTACCTTTGCATCATACTCCTTTGTTAACAGGATTAAGTACTCTTCAGCTTCATATGCTCCAACCTTATCACCTACAAGTCCTCTTACCGTTTGTACCCTATGATGAACCTATGAAATTAGACATTTAGAAGTAAAGTAAGGGTTGATAACAAACCATTTGATGAGCATATTGAAGATGCATACCATTCTTCTCTCTTTATTAGTAAGCTCTGCCTTCAAGTTAAAATAGTCTTCCAAACTAGTTTTCGTTACCTGAAACGGTTCACAAACAAATAGCTTGAAGATAAAAGCATATGCTTAATGTTGAAATATATATAATATTATACATTAATTAATACCTCTCCAGATTGTAACCTATTTAATCTCAACTGAGATTCACAATCTTCACGGAAAATCCCTATGCTTAAACAGAGATCAAGTCTGAGCTCAACAATAGGAGTAAGAAGCTGCAAAAGGATAAAGTGTCAGTAGTGGAGGCCAAAAATCTACTTTTGTAAGAACCTCATTTACTCGTACGTGATGCAGGTTATGTGCCAATAATTTAACCAGCAAAACTTTTTTGCTAGTCCCTTGTAGCGTCAGAATATTCCGAAATGTTGCATTAATCAAAGCATCAACAGCATCCACCAAGCTAGACAGCTGACTGCATGCTGTGAAATTCATCTTTGAAAGCTCACCACAAGGGACATGTTCTTTGGTAGATCTTTGCCTACCATCTGGAACCTGCAATATCATGGATGAAGCAAACTTTTGAGCTTCCCAATACTACAAGATACTAAGGGTATGTTTGGCAATCCTTACAAAACAAGGGCAGGATCAAACCTTGCCCAGTTCTGTTCTAAACTAGTTCTTTTGTAAACCAAGTGGGTGTTGAAAGTACTAGTTTAGAGGCAATTTTTTGGCCTAGGAAAAGTTGGGCCAATGCCAACCACTTTTATCCCCAAGATGAAAATAGGGCCAAACCTAAGCCTAAAATAAGAACTAAACAAGGGGATAAATAGATTAAACAGATTGAACTGAAACATTACTTGTTAAAAAAAGTCTAGAAATAGCAGACAACGTCAAAACAAACTCCACCATACAGAAACATCAACTTATGGGGCATGTTTTCAAAATTTATTTGCATACTGTACTCTCCTTAGTACATATCTACCTATTGTCACAGAAAACAAAATAGAAAATTATATTATCAAAACCAAGAAAACCAAGGGACCACGATCGACTCCATGTGATCGCTATGGTATAGGCTTTAAATAAATCCCTTGAAAAAATTTTGAACAAAAAAAAATCTCTCCTTTTCCCCTCTATTTTATCTATTTTAACTAAGACTTATGAGCAAATATGCAAACATCTACATGAAGTCCGCTTTCCTCTTCTCTCCACTCTGCGCAATTTCGTTTGATGCCAATTTTACTTGGGAAATGGTAACACTGAGAGGTCAGTTTCAATTTTCGAAATTTTATATGATATTTGTGTCTTTATACATATTTGGGTGAATAGTTATTTGGTAATTGAGGTAGCAAGTTCAACATTCTGATTAAGTTTGCATTTTGAAAATAATTCCTATCATTAAAGTTTGGGTAAACTGAAATATTACTTTTTAGGGGTTCGAGGTCATACAAAGTTCAAAAGCAATAGTTTGGGTAAACTGAAATATTACTTTTTAGGGGTTCGAGGTCATACAAAGTTCAAAAGCAATAAAATTAGGTTAGCGAAGTTAAAGAGGGTGAAACTTGGGGCTATTATTTGAGCAAACTTTAACTTGCGGGGTATCAAAGCTGAAGTTGGTTAAACTTTAGGGTGTAAACTGACTCTAAAATAAAATAAAATAGAAGAATTTAGGGTGTAAACTGACTCTAAAATAAAATAAAATAGAAGAATTTTCCACATAAATAGGAAAAAGATGGGAAAAACTATATCTGTTTGTATTTGTAGAATAAAATAGAAGAATTTTCCACATAAATAGGAAAAAGATGGGAAAAACTATATCTGTTTGTATTTGTAGAGGACTGTTACATTCATCTCCACTCCATATTGTGGATCTTGATCAGGTTATAACGGTACCATGTTAAATAAAGGAAGAAGCAAAGAAACAGTTACATGTTTTATAAGGTAATTCATAATTTAGAACGTCGTTTTATAAGTGCAGATACAATTGTAATGAATTTAATATTTAAAATTTCTTTAATAATTAAATTCATAATTTAGAACTGTGTATACTTACATGAGGACACCAATAGCAGGGAATGTGGGGTAAATTATAGGGGAAGTTCGGTAATAAATAAGAAATCCGTAGCCTGTGCCTAGCACGGGTCAAAAGACTAGTACTTACATGAGGACACAAATAGTGGGGAATTATAGAGATAGTTCTGTAATAAATACGAAATTCATAGCCATAGTTTGGCACGGGTGAAAAGACTAGCACTCTTAATATCAAAAGACATACCACCGAACATGATAAAAGTTCTGGTTCCCTTTTTATTTCCTCCATTCTAGCTGAACGGTAGGCTTTTGCAACATGCAAATAATCATCAACCTGCAAAAAGCGAAAAAAAACAATAGAGGTGATAATTCCGAGAGTTATTCTTTAAAATTCAACAAGTCCAAATAATGATTTTAGCAACATTAAAAAATGATATTTTTTTTCCTACAAACAATCTTAATACAAAAACTACCTTTAAATTTCAATTGACGCATGAACCACATACGTGGGTTTTTTTTTCAAGCAACCACCTCCCAGTCAAAAGTTCACTTAGAAATAAAAAATCATACTACCTTTAAAAGTACGAGTTCGGGAAAATCTTTCCATGGTCAATATTACCCTTAACTTTTAAAAATATTACATTATTATCCTAATCTATTTTAGTTATCATATCTTCTTTGAATTGGTAACTAAATGATTTATCCTATTCATAATGAGACTTAACATGTTATTGGATAAAAGAGATACATTTCATATAATTCAAATCCTTTACTTATTTCAGTTCGTAGAGAAATCTAAATAACATATGCTAGCCAACACCTAAAATTTTTTAAACTTGGTAAAAAATATTCTCCAAATTTTTTAAATTGCAAAAACACCACTACAAATTCAAAATTTTATTAAAACTTCTTAAAAATTATAAATTTTACTTTAATTCAGTGAGAAATCTGAAAAACATATGTTAGCGAGAAACTGAAGGTTTTTTACTTTTTAAAAAATATCTTGTAAGTTTTGAAAATTGCAAAAACACCCCTAAAAATTTAAAATTTATAAAAAAACACCTTAAAAATTTTAAACCTATAAACACACTAAAAACCTACAAATAACATGAACCCCCAAACTTTATCGAATTTACAATAAATACTCTGAACTTTTTACAAATTACAAAATAAAACCCTCAAAATTGTTAAATTTACAAAAAACCTGATAATTTTCAACCTAACACTACATTAAAAATATAAGAATTATAAATATTCCTTACATAGTTTATAATTTATACAAAACACACTTATAGTTTAAAAAATTACAAAGAAACCCGTAAAATTCAAAATTTACAAAATACATCCTGAGAATTTCATACTCATTAGTAAATTAAAAGCATAGGAATTATAAATAGTCTATAAATAATTTACAATCTGTAGAAAAGGCCCATAAGTTTAAAAAATAACAAAAGGCCCTAAATTTTATAATTTATGAAAATACACCATAAGAATTTCTAACCTATAGACATTAAAATGAATATACATAATTACTAACAACCCATAGAAAATTAAAATTTTATAAAAAATATCATACACCCTTTAAAAGTTTAGAAAAAAAAATTCATGGTCAATATTATCCATAACATTTTTGAAAAGAACATAACTAATTAAAAATCTATTAAATTTGAAATTTAGCACATTGCAAATTACCCCTCCAAAGTATGAAAATTTTCAATGATTTTTTTTAATTCCTTAATTTCAATGTAATGTTTAATAATTTTGTGTATTTGTAAATTACAAGATTTTAGAGTATTTTTATAATTTTTAAAACTTTTGAGGGTATTTATTTTGTAGTTTTCTAAATTTTCATTGTGCTTTTAGTGTAATGCATAAATACTTCAATTAATAATGATATTGAAGAGTAAGTTATTCTTAAGATTATTAGGACATAATTAAGTGTGTACATCACTATTGCTAGGCAGTATAACTTATATATGCAAAAAATTTCAAACAATCAATATAGTGGTTAAAAATATTGACTTTAATGTACTATTTTTATAAATTATATTTAATGTGAACCCACCATATAAGTTTGACTGTGGTCATCATAATTTTAATACATTTGATTGATTGACTATATATGTATATAGGTCATGGATTATTTTACTTTCTCACATGAGCTAATATTTAGTGCTTAATAATTTTATATTATTACTTTTAAATTTAATATAAAGAACAGCTATAATAACATTTATTTATTTAGCTACAGGATAATTCAATCTCAATTCTTATTTTTTGCTTGAGATTTATTCTATAGTTACGCGTATCAAATTAGTAACTAAATTAATAATTATTTATGCTTAAATTAGGATGATTGTAGTTGGTCACTCACTATGAAAATTTTATTACGATATATACCTTACTTTCTATAGTTATCTGAACAGCCCATGTATATTGTATAAATTAGTAGTTAATTTAACATATTACATTACTTTTTCTTTATAGAAATTTCTTCTTTGACTTTTGGACTATGTAATAACTATATTACCATTCTAGCGTAGAAATGACCTCACTCTAAATAGCTTCAAGCCAATGTTTGAGTTGAACTAAAGTATATATTATTAAATCTATGTGAATATATATTTTTTTAAAATAATTTCTGCACTTTTTAAATAGAAGAAAATATTCTAACTTTGATATTATAAAAACTAAACATAGCCAATTGAGTGATTAGCAAAAGAGAACTTACATCAGAAAAACGTGAATAATAAGATAAAGAGGAAAAATAATGACATTACAAATAGCAAACTACAATATAAAATTAACCTATTTTGTGGAGACCAACTATTGGCTATAAACATTGAGGTTTCTATATATATACTTTAGAATTTATTAAAAATGGTCATATAATCTTATATAATAAAATTGATTTAGTCCTGAATAGTAATATTGTTGTAATAATATCATTTTTAGGAAAAATTCTTCATAAACTAATATGTTTTTTACGATATATAAGCTATGCACTCTAAATTCTTATGTCTTTTATAGAGCCAAAAAGTTTAACTACGAGCTCTAATATGTTGCTCTCACAATAACAAAATCCACTTAGTAGATGTTGATATTTCAGATAAGTTATATGTCTTATATACAATACAATTGTCCTAGGCAAATGAGTTATAATATTATTTTTCATTCACATCGCTTGGGTTAAGATTTGATAGAGACCTTGCATTAAAGAAAAAGAAATTTTTATATTTAAACCACATAGCGAAATATATTATAATCTCCCCGCTCTAATTTCACAAGATAATAATTCTTCATGCTTTCAGTTTTATTTCTATGATACAGAGAATGAGTTATAAAATTGAATGAGAATATTAGATAATATAAATATTAGTGAAATCACAACTAAAAGTTAATGTGAATATGAGTCAAACCACAACTAAAAGTTTAACAGACATATTGCAAGTAAATTCATATACAAAATTTCTTTGCGAATTGATGATCACCCATCTTTTGAAGATTTCAAGATAATATTAAACAGAGATGTTGTATTAGATTAATGTGTTTATAACTCACAAATAGTAGATCATGTGACGACGGTTTGGGTTGAAGGAAACAATAATAATTTTATTTGAGAGAGAAATCATTGAGTTGATGATCAATCCCACAAAAAACTTTATTTTTATATATTTTTACTCTATTTTTGTCAATTTAAATAATCATGATATTCTATCACATGTATTACATGTGCATCTCAACTAGTAATCTTAAAAATTCAAGTTCAACGTACGACATTTGTAGGCGTCAAAAATTGTCTATAGATAATCGTACGTAGCTCAAGACGTAGAGAAGACGATAAACATCATCATCTAAGTTGCAAAGGATCATCCAAAGCTAAAGATCAACTTGAGAATGCATAAGAAGCGCATCACACAAGTTTTAAGGTGCAAAACACATCCCAGAAGCATGAAAGGGAACCAACAGTTTCCGAGACAGTTACAACTATCTCGGAAATTCTGAGACACTTATAACTATCTCGAAAAATTCTGAGACGCTTACAACTGTCTCGGAAGTTAAAAAGAAAACGATAGTTTTCTTGAGATTTGTGCATGCCATGTGGCCCCATAACTTCCAAAGACCGTGTTTGAACGTGGGGAAGACATTACCAGCGGAAATCACGCCAACAACTGCCCAGATAATAGCATTAGAACGTGTTTAAAATAGTTACAAAACAACTGGAGTAAAGCAAGCTTCCGAGACAGTTGTAACTGTCTCGAAAAATTCCGAGACACTTACAACTGTCTCGGAAATGAAACTTCTTCGACATGATTTATTTTTGACTTCCGACTTCAGTTGTTGTTCCTAAGGGCTATAAATACCCCCTAGGACCATTACAGACAGGGATCCAAGCAGAGAGAGCAAATTGAACAGAGAACTTAAGCATTTTGGAGCGTCCTTCTCAAGAGAGTCTTCATCAAATTCGAGTGCAAATAGCAACTTTGGGATTCCTTAATATCTAAGCTTCAACTTGATCTTGAGAAGAGTATTCATCTTACACGCTGGCGATCACAGTGGGAGCCAACGGTCTCGTTGCTGAGACCGTCATGTCGCAGCCGATCATCAAGATACCGGTTGAATCCACGGTCAAGTACGAATTCGACTAAGCAAAGTTTGAGGAGTATATGTCATTCTCGTCTGCAAAGTCTTCCTCACCCCGCAAATAGAGGAAGATTTCGTCTTCTACGAAAGTTTTTAAGTTTTCAACTCATACGGGTGAAGACTCTCGCCCTGTTGTTGCCGAGGATTCTACTCACAATACATCTGCTCACAATGATTCTTCTCCAGTTAAGGAGTCATTGAATCAAAACCCACCGACACTGATAAAAAGAGCTTGTTAGAGACAACGTCAGCGCCGTACTCGTCAAATGGCTAAGACCTTGGAACAAACCGACGGGATTCGTTACTATGCGGACCTAGAGTCGAGGAAGCATCGAGTGGTCCAGTTGCCTCAACGACAAACCACTCACATATCTGCTAAACTTACAACAGAGGAATGAACTCTCGTCAAAAGGGCTCGTTCGACCCTTAAATAACGCATACAAAAGCGTCGTGCAAATGTCACTCGTGTCCGTGCCCTTCGTCAACAAACACAAGAAGGGAAGAAGAAAATGGTGTCTAAAGAATCACCAAAGAACCTCAAAGTTTGGATCCCGAAATCCTAACTTGTGCAAAAATCAAATCACCGAAATACGTCCTTCATCCGAGACACTTACAACTGTCTCGGACAAAGCAACAGTATCCGGGACACTTGCAACTGTCTCGGGCAAAGAGGCCATATCAAGTGTCTCG